CGTATGTTCTAGAACTTAATCTAAGAGTAAATGGATAGATTATCTATTTGATAAGATATTCTAAAGCAACTTTATAGAAAAATTTAGACTTATATTATTATAATAACAACTAAAATTTACCAAGTATCAATGTTTGGTCGTTTTGTGTTCTTCATAAGTTGTTTACCTTATCTCCAGACTTAGCGCGCCCATCAGCGGCTCAACGGTAAGTCTGTGAACTTATAACGCTAAGAACGGGGTTTCAATACCCGTGGTTGGCACAGCACGGATAGTTCATCGTGTAGCTTTGTGCTTAATTGCAAACAAACAAGCAAACGAAACTTAGTGCAGTTATATATCCCTTACTAACGTATAAACCTTTAGTTTCCCAGAGAAAGAAGACCAAAACGTTTAGTCGAACTGACACAGGATAATAACTCATAGTGTACAATTTATGATTCGATTTAAAATGAAAACGTGTACTTGAAGGTCGGTATGAATTACAGCTACATAAAAATAAAAGTTCAATTCGTTAGCCACTGTTCTTCTTACAAGATAACTTTTCTCTGACTACTTCCTCTCTATTCGGGCACATCTTGGAATTTAGGTTTAAGAAAACGCCCAAGGTTTGAGATTAAATATTTATTCACAATAATGCTATAGAACGACCATAACCTGAAGCGTCCTCTACATTTGTAGCTATAGTTACCGAAACACCAGCATGCCTAGAAAAGAACAGGAAAGGGTAAATAGATTATTGAAACAAAATTACTAATGGCAGAATAAAATATGCGTCAGTGCTGTTAGTACCCTTAGGCCACGTGCTTCCATTGAAATTATAACAACGTTACTAAAGTTTCTCTTTCTACATAATTTACTAAGTTGATTATGCATTTTTTAAACGATTAATTCTTGCGACATCTTATTGTATCTCCTTAACGTATGTATTCTTACGTTGCTAGAGTTCAGTTTTTCCTCATTTTAACTTCATTGTACCAGCTTCTGTATGCAATCTTTGTATGGTACTATTTTCCATTTGCATTCAAAAACTTATTATATATTTTAAAAGCATTTGTGTTTAAGTCTAGACTATGATTGACCAAAATAATTGCTAATAAAATCTAAAAAACAAACCCAAACTCAATAACAAATAAAGTATCAAGTGGAATAATTTAAAGAAGTTTTATTGGTTGATATGTGTATAAACATTTAACGTTAATTAATATTGTACTAACTTACTTACACTTCATAATAACTTACACAAAAATATATCACAACTATATCCGCAGTTCGGCACTCTTGTTTAATTAAAAAAGCTAATTTAACACATGTTTCGGGATCTTATTGCATCTAGCAAAGTGTAAACTGGTCTTGAGTCATTCTAACACAGGTAATATAAGACCCAATGAACGAGCTTTGCTTCTCTTTAAGTTAATTAGCATAAACCTTATACCAAACTAAATAAGTAATACCTACAAAGTCTGGAAATTATTATCCCGTTAAATGAAATATTGACTGCAGGATCATTATGGGATTTTATATGAAATAGATTTTTGTTATGGTTATTTCATTCAATATATGTATATGAATATAATAGTACTGTTTGTTGTATGTCCATGTAACTACTTCGTAGGTTGTGGATGGATCTTCAACAAATTTGGTATGTATATTCACTGGGTCCATGGGAAGATACATAAACAATTATAGTTTTTCATTTTGCGTTCTACGGTTTTTATGGGCGTTTTTTACCATTACTTCGCCCCCTGTTGATGGATCTTCACCAAATTTGGTATAAAGGTTTGTTGGATCCATGAGAAGATATATGCAAAGTTGCAGTTTCACATTTTGTGTTTTGCAGTTTCTGTGGGCGTTTTTAGTTTTTAACAATTACGTATAAGGGAAGTAACTTTTCATGTCCAAAGATAACCTTTCAATAATCATAAATTTATATAACTTCCATCCAGGGGACGAGTACTCTAGCTAGTATTTATATATAACACCACCTGTTTATATAAAAGTTTCAAGATACTGAAATTTATAGTTTTCAGTTATTTGTAGAATGTTATTTTTTATTGCAGTACTTATTGTTGGCATCTCAACAAGTTATTATTCTATTTACTAGTTCTAATATCTGAAACTTAACCAATATTTTGGTCACCCTTCTTCCGTATTTGTGTTGTGATGATAATCGCGATTTAAAAAACGTAAAATATATCTCATATGAAAGACTGTATACTAACAAGCTTTTAAATTTCTGTTAATTATATGTTTGTATCTTAGAAAAGAATTCTTCCTATGAAATGTGGAGCCACGGATCAAAGTCTCTCACTTAAGAACAAAACATCTTTTGTCACCAAAGTCTACGCAAGAAGAGTTGATCAACTGAGTCGGCTCATGTTTCCTTTGTTGTTTGCCATATTTAATGTAGCATATTGGGTTTACTACTTGTGGAATTAATGAGTCAAGTTCCATACCACAGAAATTCTGGTATATAATGATATAAGATTTCTTTCTTTGAACCAACAGGAAAAATGTATACAGTGTTACGTATTAGAATTTCAAATAGCCTGGGTTAAACGATACTTTAAATTTAGTAGCTAAATTGTTCTTTGGATTTAGCAGTTAAGTATAAGCAGATATATAGTCAGTTTATGATACAAGATTGATACACACAGTTTTCTTTTTTAACACAAATACGTTTTAATATACACACAACCATACAATTTACAATAACAGTTATTACAAATAGTTATTACATACAATGATTTATATATAAAAATTTTACAAACTTACAAGGAATATAAAGTCTTTTTTCTAGTCTGCAACTTCCTTGATATCTTATCAAGGGTTCACGATGAGAGAGTTAATTACGAGTTGACGTAGGTATAATTAACTTGACAGGAAGCTAGCTAGCCCTGTAGTTCTCGCTGATCACACGCCGATTACAGGTCGCGTTTCCACCGATGACGTTAGGTAATGCTTTCGTGAAAGTACTAATCACCGATGTGAAGCCACTGAAGTTAAATGGTTTGTAATGTCCGAAATTTATAAATTTTCCTGGTCAAATATCTTAAGTTCCCGATTAATAAGCGTTATAACAATCACAGTTATAGCTTCCGAAGCTTATAGAACACCAACTATAGAAAACCAATAATAGATACTTTTTTGGCATATTTGGTTATATTTATAGGAGTGTGGAGGATTTCTCGAATTTTCAGCTTTACGTAACAATACAAAGCTACATTTAAGCGTTTACGTACATACATAT